AAAACGTGTGGTCCTGGTCTACAAAGAACCTGAAGTAACTAGGTTGCATATAAACCATTTTAAATATAGTTGTGTAAAAATAATAGATTAATTTATGTATTTTGGTATTTAATAATAATAAAATTTCCATTTGTGTACTTTAGTAACATTTGTGTTAACTCNAATAATAATAAAATTTCCATTTGTGTACTTTAGTAACATTTGTGTTAACTCTAGTTAAATAAAAATAGTCGTGTCCACTTCGGCGAAAATACAGAGTGCACCGACCAATAGGTGTATTTGGGTCGGTGGAATACCAGATACTAAATTATATATTTTTTCATTAAACTAAACCGCTAAAATGTAGCGTTATTAACATTTTGCAGCCTAAATATCAATATAAATAGACTGCTAGACTTGGGATAATAACATATATATATCACTAACAAAATAAGCTTGTTAACTTTACTGTCGTCACCAATAAATGTTCTGGCAATCAATTACAACTCTAAATACTGAATAATCAATATGTGCCGCAATGACAATCCCGAAACATAAAGCTCATTATGTGCTTCGTTTTTGTTGGAAATAAGATATCAGATTGATTTTCGAAAAACATATGGAACTGAATACTTAAAAAAATTATAGTATCAGTATTATTTGTCCTACAAAAATCAAGCTGAACACTTACAGTTGACTTTCTTTAATTAAAACGTAGATATTTAGGTACTTAATTATTCAAGTACATGTAATAGAAAATTCACAAATATTTTGAAAATTATAATTGGTCACTCGGTTTGCAGGTAAAAAAAAAACCAATTATAAATAATAATTAATAAACTGTACATGTGTTAGTATTATTTATTCTTTTCGTTTATAAAATAATTTGGCTAAATGATAATACTAATTGCCTAGCAAATTTATATTTGTTTAAATGTGTTAACGTTTTTAAGTTGAATTTCATGTGCAACAATAAGTATTAAAATTGCCACTACTCAGTTAGACCGTCGAACTAAATGAGTATACATAAATGGTGCTCATATCCTGGATATCTTGCCACGATACTTGATCCAACTAAGCCACGTTACCACTGTGCAGTGAACGCCCTGTGCTGGGTTTTTTTATTACAAGTATTTACTATTTCATTGTTTCGTAAGTAAAATTATCATAGGTCATTAACTGCTTTTCTTATAATTTTATTTAATTACTGTTTTTAAACTGTTTTTTTGTCACCTATTCAAATCATTCATACATGAAACTACTTAATAATTCTACAATCAATTGAAAATTGATCAAAAATAACTGAAGTTAAATCTAAATATGCCGATTTGTAATTTGCATTATTATAAATTTATCATTAGACGTAAAATTATTTGAGCGTTTGCCATAAATTTGAATTAAAATAAAAAAAAGAATTTTTATTGTAAATATAATAAAATAATTCCATTTATTTAAAAATAAGGACTTTTATAATTTATATGTCTCATCATATTATCTTAAAAATTTTTTAAATAACAAATGTTGCAAATCGTAAAACGTTTAAAAATATTAATAAGTATAATTACAATCCAAAATTGTATGTAATTATTTATTAAGTTTTTGTATCATATTTACAAAAACGAGGGGTTTATATTATAAACTTTATAAATGAGTATATATTATTTTATACTTCTCATTTAATTAAAATAATTATTTACTTTATATAAATTAACTGAAATTTTTTCCTCGTTTTCTTATAAAATATTGAAAATATCTTAGCATATTAAAAAGAATGCTAATTCTATGAATTTTTTAATCTTGCCATGTGCATTAATTTTGTTTAAATTTTTAATCTAAAATTTTTTTCCCTTAGACTTCCTGAAGTACTTTCGTTGTTGAATAAACTTGGCTCTTGTTCATCTTCTTCGCCGTCATCCACGCATGAAGATAATTTATCAATAGCAAAATAGGCTTTGAAAAAATCATTTTTCTCCCACGGAGATGACAATTTATCTGTATTATTCTTTATCGCCACCGGCGATTGTGATAATTTAACATGACGTCCTTCGACTAAACGACGAACTGCCTATCTCTTCAACTCCCTTCGAGTTTTATTTTGACGGGAAATTGATTTTGTTACTTGTTTGTAAAGTGATACTAAGACCTCATCGCTCTGATCAATCATTTCGCTATCAGTTGAATCATCGGACCATTGGTCATCATCTTCATCGATATATAAGTACGTGTTGGTCTGCTCTTCGTCATCTAAACACAATGAATGCACATGACAAGATTAAAAAATTTAGAGAAGTAGGTTTCTATTTAATATGATAAGAAATGTTCAATATTTTATTAGAAAACCCAGGATAAAATTCCAGTTAATTGAGATAAAGTAAATAATTTATTTTAATTAAATAGAAAGTATAAAATAATATATATACTCATTTATAAAGTTTATAATATAAACCCTTCGTTATTGTAAATGTAATACAAAAACTTAATAAATAATTCCATTTATTTAAAAATAAGGACTTTTATAATTTATATGTCTCATCATATTAACTTAAAAATTTTTAAATAACAAATGTTGCAAATCGTAAAACGTTTAAAAATATTAATAAGTATTATTTCAAAACAATATTTTATGTAATTATTTATTAAGTTTTTGTATAAGATTTACAAAAACGAAGGGTTTATATTATAAACTTTATAAATGAGTATATATTATTTTATACTTCTCATTTAATTAAAATAATTATTTACTTTATATAAATTAACTGAAATTTTTTCCTCGTTTTCTTATAAAATATTGAAAATATCTTAGCATATTAAAAAGAATGCTAATTCTATGAATTTTTTAATCTTGCCATGTGCATTAATTTTGTTTAAATTTTTAATCTAAAATTTTTCCCTTAGACTTTCTGAAGTACTTTCGTTGTTGAATAAACTTGGCTCTCGTTTATTTTTTTCATTGAAAAAATCTTCGTCGTCATCCAGGCCTGAAGTTAAATCATCAATTGCTATCAACAAGTTAAGTAAGTACTTAAACGCTGCATTAAAATTTCCTTTTGCTATTTCATCTTCTGCTTTGAGTAAACAAAACGTTTAAGAATATTTTTAATAAGTATTATTACAAACAATATTTTATATAATTATTTATTTTGTTAATTTTGTATGATTTTTGTTAATTTTTTATTATTATAATTGATAATAATATAAGAGTTTATATTATAAACTTTATAAATGAGTATTCATACAGGTAACAAAACCGATTGTCCGACAAAATGAAACCTGGTGAAAGTTAAAGAGATCGGCAATTCATCGTTTAGTCGGAAGACGTCATGATAAATTTTTACAATCGCTGGTGGCAATAAAGAATAATACAGATAAATTGTCATCTCCTTGCGAGAAAAGTGATCTTTTCAAAACATATTGTGTTTTTGTTGTTTTATCTTCAGGCGTGGATGACGACGAAGAAAATTAACGAGAACGAAATTTATTCATTAACAAAAGTGTTTCAGAAAGTCTAAGGGAAAAAATGGTAATGAATGCAAAAGAAGCGACTGCTACAGATGAAAAACCGGCTTTGAAAGAAGTGTTATTTAGGATAGTTAATATGGCCGAGTGTTTCATGGTTGATTCAAGTCCTAAAAAAAGTCAATACTAGTAAAATTTTAATGCAGCGTTCGAGTACTTGCTTAATTTGTGGATAGCTACTCCGGACAAAAATATTCAAACTTTAACGACACTAAAAACCTATTAAGTGGATTTTATCAAAAAAGCTGTCGAACAATGACTAATGCCAAATCGATTATTTTAACCTATCATTTAAACGTTTTTTAATATTTTTAATTTCTATTGATTTTAACGAATTATATATCAAATATTGAAGCTAAATTATAGAATTTGTTTAATATTATTTATTATAAAGTCAAATATGTATAGATTTATTTTAATGATTTTACTTGTGCGAAGAAATCATCAGAAAGAATCTTAAACTTATTCCTAAAAAATATATACTGATGTACAAAGTTTCCCTGAGTTAAACAATAAAATATTTTATTTGAAATTGTTATGTTCGAGACATCTAGACCGTATAACGGCTAGTTGTGCATCGCACTAGAATTCCGTTTTACCTTAGGCCTGTTTAAATCGCTATTATTAAAGCATGAGTGGGTCACCTGGGGGATGACGGTTAACGGTACATCCAATAAGTAACGAGAATAGACAATAAATAAATAACCACTAATATTAGAAATTCTTCAGAGAGTATCTTAAATTTAAGGGGTAACGGTGGCCCTTAAATACTAATGGCCGACGAAGCTGCATAAAACAAAATAGTTAATCTCAATTAAAGCAAACAATAAATAACATCAAAAAATAATATGAAACTCAGTTGAATAGATGAAGTTGTTGATAGTGATGAGTGGACTGTATGAGATCTTGTGGTAATGGTGTCGAACATCTGAGTATGAGGAGTCAGGGTTTAGATCTAGGCACGTAATAGTAGATGAAAAAAGACGGCGTAAAAGCGACAACGGCAATGAAATTGTTTAGTTTTGGTCAGGAGCCAATTACTAATGTCATGCAAGGGCACGAAAACTTAGATCACAAAGCTGTAATAAATAAATGAAAAAATAACGGTGTACTATGGCCGAACAATATCCAATTCAAACGAAGGCGCTTGCTACAGAAAAAAATAACACATAATAAAATGAGTAAAGCAACACGTTGGACATCAGATGTCACACGATATAATATAATCAACGATGTTTCTAACAACTTGTCTACTAGATCTTTGCTAAAGGCTTTCTGTACCAAACGATATATATATATATATAAAATCCAGTTTGCTGGACACCCTTTTTCAATTAATTTTTTTAATTAGGATAGTTTTTCATTTGAGAAACAACAAGTGATTTAAAATTTGGCTGTTTTTTTGTTAAAATAATTTTTTTGTGACTATATAACTAACAAAAACCTTAATCATATATCGAGTATTGCGATATTATAACATTAGATGCAACGACCTCAGATATATTTATGCATCAACTGAGGAAATTTTAGCTATATCATAGATGAACCATAATCAATGAAATGGCTAAACACCTCTTCAGTCCAATCATCTGAGTAATGGTTATGATGATAACATAAAACCAAATAATTATGAGTCCATTTTTTTTCTCATAACAATTAATATATAAACTATTATGTATACATGCTCGTTTCTAATTAATTAAAAAATTCGTTGGCGATTAATTAAAAAAAACACTTATTATATTTTTACTTACCTGATACATTAACATATCTAATATATTTTTGGTAAAACAACTGTCTCTCGTTACGTGTCAGTTATCTGGGATTTTAATCCTAATATTAATCATAATTTAATTCATTTTTAATGTACGTTGTTTACTAATTATGCACAAGGCTGTACTGATGTGAATATTCAATAAAATCAACGAGCTAGGATTAAAAAATTTTTGTAAGTAGTTATATAAGATTGTTTGTAATAATCACTGTCACCAATAACATAAAGTGTTTGCAAAAATTATTGTTTAATAGTCATTTGTTATGAAATAATATCTCGACTATGAGTAAACCGAAAAAATAATTCAAAAATGCTTCTTCCAAATATTTCTGGTTACAGCAATATAACTCTTGTGTACTGCTGTGATCAGATATGTTGCGTTACTACCAAAAACAATAATTATTGTTACATAATTAATAGAAAACTTTGAATTAAATTCAATGGGTAAAGAACATTTTGATGGGCGCAGTAACTCTCTTTTTCTTACTTTTCAGGAAATTTAAAATAAAATTTATTCTCTAAATACACTCTATATATTTTTCAATTTTCTAAGTAGTTTAAATCCGATTCAATCCATATTTACGATATTTTGTTGAAAGTTATTATAAGAAGAGAAAAAACTAAATTCTCATAATCTCAAAGCTGAATTTTTTAAGTTACTGTCTTATTTTTTTTGCATGACCGTTTAATTGTAATGGTTGGTGCTATTATACAAACGCTTCAATTCTTACCCATTGTATTTCTTAAAGATAAAACTTACAAGGTTAAAAATAACTACATTTAGTCGATTCTGCTAAATGGAATCTGATATCCTCTGTTAGCTTTTAGATGGCATCATTTACATTTATTTTTTTCTTAATTCAAAACTAAATGACTACAGTTATTGCATAAAGTGGTGCCATAGCCAATCTATACGTGTTAATAATTATTATAACACTACTTATTAATAACTGATTTAATTATAACTGTATTATGTATAGTTTAAATTATATTATTGTAGTCATTCGTCAATTTAAGTGTTACTTTAATTAATATTACAACCTACAGCACACTCCAACACGTGTCTCATCCTAGATGGGGCATTACAACTGAAACACATAAAATCAAATTAAAACCATAATAATTCATATTTTAAAATACAATAATAATAATAATAGTTCTTAGATTATTTAAATATTTTTAATATATAGATGGTTTATTAATCATTTTTGTTTTCATATTTCCTTATTATTTTATTCTCAACATGATTTTAACTTCAATGGCAATATAATATTAAATTATTAAAAACTATGATCTAATATAAATATTAATTTATTTATAACTGATTATGTAAAATATTAATTTTTTTTATAAACTACAAATTTGTAGGGCTATACTTATAAATTTGATATCCTTATCAATTATCCTCATAAGTATATAATTATGTACAGAATCAAGTTCAAGAGAATATGATA